CCGATTCAGGGCGAGCCGAGTGTTCTGTGCAGGATGAAGAGCCGGCCGAGGGGCAGGTGACATCTCCGAGGCTGACAGCCACCCAGCCGCTCGGTGCCGGGCCAGAACGATGGCCCCTGGGTTTGCCCCCCCACACCCACGCCGGGCTCCTGGACTCTAATCCTTACTGATTCCATGACCCAGTTTGATCCCCGTCACGATTTGGGAAGTGGAGGCCCGGGCCCAGAGGATCTGGGGGAGCTGGTGGGGGCAGGAGGAGACGAGGAGAGGGTGCTGAACCCAACGGCTGGGGCAGGGCCGGACTGGGTGGTGCTGGGAGCCTGCAAGCAGGGCCCCTCGCCGCGCAGACCCCCTTGCTGAGGCCCGCCCCCACCAGCCCAGGGACCTCCTCTCTGCACCCGCACAGCCCCATAGCCAGACGCCTGGGAGCACTGGGGAGTCCACTTGCCCGCCCGCCGGCTGAAACTGGGGCACAGGAAATCCATGCCCCCTCCCCACCCCTCCACGCCTCCCAGGGCCACATCCTCTCTCCGGGACAGGAGGTGACAGAGTTGTGACAGTCATGTGCTGTCTGGAAGCGAAAATTAAATGCCAGTTAGCAGGGTTTTCCCGGAAGCCAGTCTGGCCACCCGGCCTCTGGAAGGCAGCCACCGGTTGCATTAGGCACGGAACAGCCAGTCCCAGGCAGGGACGCTCACTGTCCCTCCCCCAGAAAGGCCCGGGGCTCTCGGTGCCCAAGGAGAGGGCCCCAGCCTGCCTGTCTCTCGGGAGGGCCGTGGCCTGCGGCAGATGGCCAGCGGGGGGCCAGGGTGGCGGGCGGTGGGCAGGGATGGGATCCTCACTGCCCTGACCTGCCCTGGCAGGGAGCTCAGGTTCCAGCCACCTCTGCCAGGCAGCTCCGGCCTCCCCGACGGGCAGGATTTCCACCGCGGTTTGGCAGTGTCTCTGCTCGGGTTGGGGTGATGCTGGGCCTCCAGCCCTGTCCCTGCCTCACAGCCCGACACCTGGCTGGCCAGGGAGCCTCTGAGCAAGTGGTGGTAGCTCAGGTGTTCTGAGTGGACGCTGCCTGGGGCCAGGGTCTGGGCGGGCGCACGGGTGGCCCAAGACTCCTCCGGGAGCCTCCCTGCGTCTGAAATGCAGCCCCGGCACGTTCAGCACCCAGACACTGTGTGCTGCACCCTGTTCCCTCGCCTCCCGCAGCACCCTCAGCCAAGGGGCTCAGTGGAGCCCCGGGAGCCTCCCTCCACCCAGGGCCTGAAGCCCCTGCCCCAGGCCCCTCCTCCATTTCCTGAGCTCAGCCCCGCCCCGCCTGGCCTCTCCGGGTGAGCTAATTCAGCAACAACTGCAGGAGGCAGGACTCAGAGAACTCCACTTTGGAGGACAGGAAACCGAGGCCCAGGACTGGAGCTGTGGGGTGGGGTCTCCACCCAGGTCCACAGGGCTCGGCTCTGTAATCCCCCACCACAGGGGTGACCCAGAGTGGGTGGTGGGTGGGGCCGCAGCAACTGTGGACAGACGGGGTACTCAGCTGGGCCGGCCCAGGAGGGGAGTGGCCTTGGGAACATTTCCTTAAGTCTCGATCAAGAATGCCCCCTGGGATGCGCCGGCCTCCACCCTAGCTGCCCGGGAAACTACCAGGCTCGCCCAGCTGAGCTCCGCAGGGGGTGGGTACCCTGGAGACCACCCCCCACGGGGCAGATGGAACAGTACCGACTCCCTCCAGGAGAAGTCCCCTTCTTGCGCCTGCCCTCCACTTTCCCACCTCCCGGACAAAGCACTCATCCTCCCACCCAGGCACAGAGGGGTGTCTGGGGGCCCCCTTGACCTCTACTGCTTGCCAAGGCCAAAGCAGGCCCACACTAAGTCCGCGACAACACTGTGCCTCCAGCAAAGGCCCGGGCCACCCCTGGGGTTGATGGGACACCCCCATGCCACCCCCACTAGAGTTCGGTTCATCCGGTCCTCTCACCGGACCCCTCGCTGCCTGGGAACCGCCCAGGTCCTGGCTGTCCAGATGCCCAGCAGATGTCCCCACCCCACGTACTTGCTCCAGGGGCCATTTTAAAAGTTTGCCCTGCTATCGTTCACTTGAGAAATGCACCGTCCACCCGAGGGCATCCTGGTCCTACATGAGGCGCGGTGAGCAGCCCAGGATACAGAGGGGCCTGGGAGGGTGCCCAGGGGAAGCAGGGCCCAGTCAGGAGACGATGCCCACCCACCACTCCCGGTTCCTCCACTTCCTGCCCAACTCCAACACTGACAGGAAGTGAAAACAAAGTAAACCCCCCCAGCCACTGCCCAGCGATTAGGACCCAGGGCAGGAAACGTGCTCTTCGGCTGGCAGCTGGAGAACCCTGTGCCCCCAAACACGACCATCTGGTCTGCACTTCGTCCCACAGTGGATACCCAAGGCCAGACTCAGGTCCTTGGAGCCCAGGGACACCTGCCCTGTGCCAACTGGAAGGGTCACCGTTGCTCCCCAAGGCGAGGCTGGGCTGGAATCTTAGTCTGGGTGAGGAGGGCAGGGGACTGGCCCCCACAAACTGGGACCACCATGGTGCCAACACCCCAGCACACAGGCCACGCCAGGCCCAGTAAGCCCGGATCCCCCCACCCCCACCCCGCAAACGATCCCCAGGGCTGCGAGAGCTGACTGCGGGGTGAGTTGGACTGGGCCAAGAATGGGGTGGACGGTCCCACTCAGACCGAGAGCGCACCCACCACAGGTCCAGGCCGCCCACCCAGGGGCGGCGGCCCAGATGAGCTCATGGGGGCGGGACGCCGGGAGCCCCGCCCCCGAGCCCCCCCATCCCGTCCCCGCGAGGCGGGGTGGTCCCAGAAACAGCAGCCAGCAGGTCGAGTGGGCAGGGTAGGAGGCTCCGAGCTCACACCCACCGCACCCTCCGCCATCACTAAGCGGGAACAGACCCGAGGCCCCGAAACGCCCCGGCCCAACCGCGGAGCTCCGGGTCCGGACGACCACAGCCCCCCAAAACAGGCTCGCAACCCCCGCAGTGCCCCGTGGTCAAGGAGTGCGGCAGCCCGGACGACCTCCACGTCGCGGCCTGCCCCCCTAGGACCCCTTGCCCCGCGCCCGGCACGTACAGGTGGCCCCACAACTTGGCGGCCCCACTGCGCCCTCTCGGAGGGGCCTAGCGGAGCGCGCGGCCTGCGGGCTCTGAGGGCGCCCCTCCCCGCCGCCCCCCCCCCCACGGCCGGGGCTCACCCAGAAGACGAAATTGAAGACGAAGAGCAGGTACTTGATGCACTTGGTGCAGCCCTCCACCCCCATGGCGGCGCGGGCGGCGGGGCCTCCGGGGCGCGAGCCGGTCCTGGGCGGCGGGGCGCTGGGTCTTGGGGACCTAGCGAGCGGCCGGGAGCAGAGGCGGCAGCCGAGGGACGCGGGAGGCGCGGGGGACTCGGGGACGAGTGTCACGGGGCTCCTGGACAAGCGAGGTCGCCGCCACAGCCGCTGGGCGCTCGCTCTCTGCTGGGGCGCGCGCGCGCTGGCCCCGCTATTTATATGGCGCCGAGGCCCCGCCCCCGGAGGCCCCGCCCCCGGCCCCGCCGCCAGCCGCGGCGCGGCCGCCCTGCGGCACCGCGGACGCGCCTCGAGGTCTTGGGGCCAGGAGGACCCCCAGGCCCCCGCGCGCGGCGCTGGGCGCCCTCCTAGCCCCGGAGGGAGTTCGCCCGAGCACAGGCCGGCAGCCAGGACGCCCAGGGAAGAACCTTCCCATCTCTCCCTGTCCCCAGCGTTTGTGCGAGACACTGTCTTTCCCGTACGCGAGCCTTCCTCCCGCCCGAAGTCTGATCCCGGCCTTAGGGACCACAGTCCTCCGGGGCAGCAGGGAGGGGTAACGGGGCGCCAACACAGGTGCCTGCGCCGTCCACTCGGGCTTTATGGACGCAGGTTCACTCAGGCTGTATGAATGCAGATTTAACCCGCATCCATACTCACCTCACAACCACACTAACCACTCGGAAATGGGCGGTAATAACGTAACACGAGAGAACTGGGGATAACGGACGGCGCCCCAGAGCCTCAGTCTGCAGGTCCCGGAGCCAGCTCCGTGGGCAGGGAGCCGTCAGCATCTTTCAAGGAAAGACCTCCTGAGCCAGGTGGGCAGCAGGGTGGATGAAGTCCTCCATCCAGCAGGGCAGAGCCTCGGGCAGCTGACGCCAAGGGAGGTCAGCGTGCGATGGTGCAGCCCTCTGGGGCCTGGGGCTCGGCCGTCTGTCTCAGTGGTGGTCTGCACCCTGCCCGGATATGCCTTGAGAGTGGTGGACTCCACGCTTCTGAATGAGTGAGTGCCTCGGACCCCGATGGTAAGTGGGGGATCTCCCTAGGAGCCCGCTCTGCAGAGCTCGCCTGCTCTGGTCACCCATGCAGATGTCTTCGGTGTGTCTCCCTGCCAGAAGCCTGCTCTGCTCTGGTCACATGTGCGGATGTCCTAGGGGTGTCTCCCTGCCAGAAGCGTCTAGAGGGGCTTAGGTCTGTCTCCCTCTTGAACCAGAGAGTCGTGGCCGACCGGCAGCCATCCTGGTTGGCACAGGCAACTCTGCTTTGCTTTACAGACTCTGTCGTCCTGACCAGACCAGGACCATTTTATTGTCCTGCTCCCCACACTCCCCCAGTCCTCCCTCGGGGACCTCGGACTAACCCAAGGAGACTCCCTGGAAGAGGTGATGCTCCAGTGAGGGCCCAGCCAAGAGAGCAGAGTGCTCTGCTCACATTGCTGCCGGGAGGGGACCCTGGGTGGCTGACAAGGCTGGGACCCGTGGGCCTCTGTGGACAGTGCCCAGCTGAGCCCCAGTCCTGGCTGCCGCCAGAGGGGTCTGTTTGGAAGGGGCGCTGCCTGTGCTTCCCCTGGGCCAGGGCGAAGTGCCTAGGAAGCCCACGCCAACCGCAGGAGAACCTCCCGATTGTGTGTGCTGCGGCGCAGGGGCCAGGCCACACTGCCTGATAACAGCCGGCCGGCAGCTGGGTGACGACGTGCCACCAAAGACGTGGGAATGACCACGAAGCACTGGAAAGGTGGCCATCGCCGCCACCACCACCGAGAACTGGGCTTTCCAGTGCAGCTCATTGCGGTTTGAACCTGCAGAGTGGCCCAATGGTGCCCAACTGCACCCCGCTGGTTCCGAAGCATTCTCGGCCCATTTTCAAGTCGGTGGCACACTTGAGTAGGAGCTCCAGGCCCATGTTGACGCCCCCTGTTCCGCCGGAGCACGTCCGGGCAACATTGTAGTAAAAGTACCGTCAGCCCTGACCTGGGTGGCTTAGTGGGTTGGGCATCGTCTTGCCTCAAAGCAAAAGGTGGAGCGAGGGCCCCGAGCCCACCGGGCAGGGCACACACAGGCCCAGGCTGCCCGCCAGGTCCCCGGTCGGGCACGTAGGAGAGATCTCGCATCTCGCGTCGATGTTTCTCTCCTTCTCTTTCTCCCTCCTTTCCCCCTCTTCAAAAGTACGTAAATAAAGTCTTTTAGAAAGGAAAAGAGTAATGTAGGTCTTCACTTGAGAGTCAGCTGGGGGTGTTTTTGTTGAAAAGGAGGCGGAACAGGCCTCGGGTGTCAGAAAACACTCTCTCAGACGTGCTGGGCCCCTGCCCCCCCACTCCCCCTCTCCCACAGTCACAGGACATTTCCTGCCACAGGTGTGGGTGGGATCCTCCCTCAGAGAGTGGCCGTCCCTGGGTCCTCGGGGGAGGGGGAGGGGACGTGGAGCCCACCCTGGGCAAGTGGGGCCAGAGCAGGGCCTTGCCCTGTGTCCTGGGTCCCCGTCCCCCCCACGCAGGTCGCGCCAGCCAGCCGGGCCTGTCCTGACGGCCTGTGCTGTGCTTCACTCAGCAGTTGGCTCTTCAGTGCCTGCCTCGTGCTGGGCACTGTCTCGGGTGCCAGCTGTGCGACCTGGTCACCCAGGACCCTTCCCTCGGGGGCCTTGAGCCCTGGTGACAATGACAGATGTCCATCATGTCTCCTCGTTTCTGGGAAAAGGGGAATTCCCAGGATGCTTGACAAAGCAACCTGGAGCGACGGGGGCACTCCCCCCACCCCTGTGGGGGCGCTTGCAGGCGTCCTCGGTGGGCTACCAGGGAGCCAGCCCTGCTGTCCGGGTTCGGGGGCACAGGGCGGAGAAGCAGAGAGGAAGCCAGGGCGCAGGAGCTGGGGTGCGGCAGGGGCAGCGGGCTAGATGCCGAGGCTGAGCAGGCGTGGGGAGGTCGGCGTGGAGCCCCCTCTGACTGCAGTGGCAGTCGGAGTGATGGAGGGTTTTGCAGGGAAGCTCCGGGCCTGAGAGGCGACTCCAAGGGCAGTGGGCTGCCTCAGCTCCCCAGGGGACCCGCACTCACAGGCACAAAGGTGAGGGCACGTGCAGGCTGTCCCGTGGACCCATTCTGAAGTGCGTGGCCCTGTGGCCCACCAACTGACCTGGTGAGAACGGAAGGGACCTGCCAGGCACACGTCAGGGCTCTCTCTCCAGAGGGATGGAACCAGCAGATGTGTGTTATATTATATACTATGTACCGTCATGGCGATTAAGGAGCCCCGAAGTCCCAGCACCTGCCACCTGTAAGCCAGAGACCCTGGGAGGAAGTGAGCAGGGATGGTTTAGTTCTGATCCCGAGACCCCAGAGCCAGGGAGCCCAAGGGGAGCTTCCCATAGGGGAGGCTGGAGAAAAGCACGTGTCCCAGATCAAGGGGTGAACAGAGAGAAGGGAGAATTCTTCCTTCCTCCACCCTCAGTGCCGCTCAGGCCTGGGTGGTCTGGAAGGGCCCCCACCCCCTCTCTGGGAGAGCTGCCTGCTCACTGAACCCACCCATTCAAATGCTGACCTCACCTGGGGACACCCCGGGACACTGCTGTTCTGTCTGGGAACCCCGGGGCCAGTCATGTGGACACTGAGCATCACAGGCACCAGTGATGTGTGCCCTGAGAAAGGCTCCCTTGTGGGCCGATGGCGGAGCTTCAGCTCACCCCGCCCCCGCCCCCACGGAGGAGACGAGCAGCTCAGACAAACACCCAGCTGGGCTGCCTTAGAGAAGGAGGGAGAGAAGGGAAGGGCCTGCCTGTGCCACGCTGGGGTGGGGCACCCTCTTGTACCTCCCCTGCCGAGGTCGGAGGTCCGGTGGGGCTGATGGCAGGAGGCAAGGTCAGGCCAGCTGCCCTGCCGGGTCTGGCTCTGAGTCTTCCCTGCCTGGTGGCCTCGGGCTGGTTCCTCAGTCCCCCACCTGCAGCGGGGTGTGCGGGAGGGCCGGACCACCTGGAGCGTGTGGGGACCAGGGTGGGCCTGGCCCGCCAGAGGCAGGACGCCCCTGCCTCCATGGAGCTGGCTGGACTGAGCGGCTTCCCTGCCAGCACAGTGTTGAGCGCTGGTGACTCACCGCGCTTCCAGGGCCACACTGTCTGGGGGACCACTGAGCCCCATTTCCTGTGGAACCAACCAAGACCACATAAATGACAGGCTGGTGATGCCAGGAACGCCACCGGGGAACCTGCTTCCCCCTCCCCACGTGCTGCCCAGAGTCCCAGGCAGGCCCCAGCGGCCGTGCACTTTTTGGGAAAGAACAACTTGAACGCCCTAAAGACAGTGAAGGTGTGCCCCATGTCACCAGAACAGACATGTGTGTTCCAGGAGCATCTTGAGAGAGGGAGGACAAGCTTGCGATGAAACCCAGCACGGGGTCACGGTGAAAGCCACAGCACCCCATCACTGAAGGGCACGCGTTCCAGCCACAAAGAGCTGCCCCCCGACGTCACTCCTGATGGGCCGGCCTCGTGGTCCCACCGGCCCCCAACGAGGATCAAGGAACGAGGCACAGCCGCCCCTCACAGCTCACTCAGCGTCCTCCTGGGGGTCCTGGCCGGGGCCCGTGGGCAAGAAGAAGGTGCCCATCCTGGGAGGAAGCCATGGATTCTCTCTGTACCTCCAGGACAGGACACCAAGCGTCGAAAACCCTAAGAATCAATCCCACTCGAAACCCAGGGAAACAACTGGGCGTGTTCGGCGATGGGCGGGCTGGCGCACTACGCAGCGGTTAGTTTGACTGCCCCACGCTAGCGAGGGACAAACAAGGTGTGGAGAAGACAGCCCCACTGCTGTGACGGCAGCAGGCAGAATGAATCACCCGGGAACAGGTTTAGCCAAAGAGGCGTGAGGCTTGTGCACCGGGAACCGCCAAACGCCGTCAGCTCGGCGCTGGGAGCGGACTCTGCCGGGGAGACTCGGCCAGGCCCAGATGCCAGCGCACCCCAAATTACCCACAGCCCCACCCTCGTCCCCGCTGGCTGTCCCCAGGCTCGTCCGAAACATCCTGTGAATACAGGCGCCCCAGAACGGCCAAAGTCGTCTTGAGAAAGTAGGTTAAGAAACACTGTGGGAACCGTCACCGACAGCGTCTCGGCCTCCTCTGAGCCCATCTGTCATCGTCGGTGTGCACCTGTGACGACCCACCTCTGGAAGATCAGGTAGTGCCCCGTTTCCGGGCCCCTCAGAGCGGGGGAGCTCGCCAGAGGGAGACCGCACAGCCCCGCAGCGTCTCCATCTTCGCGTTCCCTGCTGGCTGGGCCCGCCTGTGCCCACCTGTGTAAAGGAAGCACGTGTCAGTCAGTTTACCTCCCGTCCAATCCCGGAGGCCTCCCGGCTTTGCTTTCTCCCGCCTCCCTATACCCCCACCGGCTTCGGTTTGGATGTAGAAGGTGGTGCAGAACTGCCCTTCTCCGTCCGGAGCACCTCCTCAGTCCGCCGAGGTTTTGCTTCCTGGCAACGGTTGTTGGTTGGGCTCAAATAAAGTCATGAAAATTCTTACAGTTTGGACGTTTCTCCCCGTGATGAGTTTGTTGATGACAGTCTCCTTCCAAGCCCTCAAGGGGGTTCTCCTGATGGGCCCTGATGGGCCGAGCTTGAGTGCACCCCTCAAATTCCTGCGGCGACCTCCACGGGGCCGTGCCGCACACAGGCGCCCTCACATAGGCCGGGGTTCCGTCGCCCTCGTGCAGGACCGTGTGGCCAGGCCGCTGGCTGCCGCCCAGGAGTCGGGAGGACCCCAACATGGGAGGTCTCCCCACGTTCGATTCTCCCTTCTGTGCGGGGGACAGCGCTCAGGTCGGCCGCCGAGCTGTGACCTGTTTTCACTGCTGTCCATCCAGTGGTGGCTTTCCAATCAGGCCACTGTCCACCGCAGGGCTGCGTCCCTGAACCCAGCCGCTCTCTGGCGGTCAGTGGGGCAGTGGAGAGCTGCTCGTGGGCACCGGCCAAGTGACAACAGACTCAGCTGCCCCTGCAGTGGTTTCAGAGCCAGTCCAGGGGCAAAGGGCTCCCTGTTGGAGTGTCCCCGCCGGTTCCCCGGCCACAGCCTGCAGGGGTCGGCTCCACTTCCCGGCAGAGCTGCTGTGATGTCACCCAAGACCTCGGGGGTGTTTCAGGTTCGGGGTTGTGTTGTCCTCCAGTCTGGGCGGTTTCAATGACTATCTGCTGGCAAGGCACGGCTGCCCCCACCCATGGACATTCTCCCACCCATGGTCATCACACACAGGTGTGGGCCATGAGCCGAGGGGACCCCCACCCCCACGCTGGGCCACAGCACAGGGATCCGGTCCCTTCCGGCTGTCTGGCTTCTGCTCCGCACCAGGGGGCTCGGGCAAGCTTCCAGTCCACCGCCAGCGTGTCTGCTGCTGGAGGGGCATTTGCCGGCCTGGGGTTTAAGGGCTGGATGCCGGGGTGACCCTGGTGTGAAGACAGCGCAGGAGGAGAGGTCATTTCCCACCTGCCCGTCCAAGTCCTCCTGGCTGGACTAACACTCAGGTCGATGGGGGGCACGGTGACGACAAGGAAATGACCCGATTTATTACCCACGTTCGTACAGGGCTGGCCGTAGGAGTCGGGGACCCCAGGACCGGCGCCGTGGCCAGAGCCGGCCTGCCGTGGGATCTGAGGGGAAGGGGGAGGTGGGGCGCACTCTGGCTTGGGCTCCAGAGAGCAAGGAGGCACCTCAAAGGCAGAGAAGAGCAGTTGATGTTTGTTAAACAAATGTTTGCTGGCCCATCTCTGACCATGGGACCCGGGAGGACTTCGCCCGGAGGGCAGTCCTGGCCGCCCGTCACCCTGGCCCTCAGCGACCTGCGGTCCCCTGGGTGCCATCACTCTTCCGGCTCTTTATCACTTTACAGGGAGAAGGTCAAAGGTTTGGGTTTGCGTTTGTTTTTTTCTGGGCCTGGTTTCTGAAAAACGGTCAGGTTTACTCAACAGTTTCCTGTAAAGGAGTGTGTGGGGGGAGGGGAGGCGGGCCCTGCTCCCCTCGAAGACGCAGGTCCAGCCCCGCCCCGCGGCCTGTGCGACTTTCCCGCTCCGGGGCCCTCACAGTTCTGTTCTCTCCCCGGCCCGGGCCTCAGGCTCTGAACTCTCTCCTTGGCCTCTGACCCCTGAGCCCACTTTGTGCCGAAGGCCTTGGGTCCCCACGGGGGCTGGAGCACAGGGACAGACGCCCCTGTCCGTCTTTAGCTGGGTCACCCCGCCTGATCTGCCCGGGGGTGGGGCCCTTTCATGTCTGGGGACCGGATGGGGTCCCTGGGCCCATGGGGTCCGGAGGGCGCTGCGTGCAGACCCCCACCTGTCCCTGGCAGGGTCCTGCCAGAGTGTCGAATTTCCTGGCCACCTACAGGTTTCCTCTGTGCAGGGACCTCCCTCCGCGGCCTCCTCGCCCCGTTTTCTCGTCAGTTTAGGGTTTTGCTCCCATCTGTGAGGCCCAGGGGGGAAGCTGAGACAGCGAATTCCTAGAGAAGTCTTCCCGGAGACCGGGTGCAGGGGCAGGCAGCTCCCTGCACAGTTCTCGGGGACCCCCTGCAACCCAGAATTATTCCCCAATCAGAGTGTTAAGGGGGAAAGAGCTTCCGACCACAAAATTTGAGCAAGTCGACGAGATGAAAAGGAAACACTGACAAAACGGACTCGGGCAGAAAGGGAAGCCTCGCCCCGGCCCGAGCGGCTCCGGTGCCGAGGCCGCTGCCCCGTCAGGTGCGCGCGAGAGGCCGCCCATCCGCGTTTCTCCCACCTGAGGTTCCCCTCCCACGCTTCCTCCCTCCTGTCCTCTCTCCCTCTCGGACGGGAAGTACATCGACTATTTTAAAAAGAAGAAAGATGAAATAAAACCGAGAGCCTTGCCGTCCTGGCTGGCCACGGGGAGGCTCTGTCGCCAACGGGCAGCCGAGGGCCGTGGAAGGGGACCCACGAGCCCACAGCTTAGCGGCCCCAAACCGCGGCCACGTGCTGCCTTCCAGGTCCCGCGTGGCCCAGCGCCCAGTCCCATGCTCTGGGCTCCTCTGAGGGACAAGCCCCGGGCCCCAGCCTGCTGTGGGCTGCAGGCCGCCTCTGTCCGGCCGTGCGAACGAGCAGGAGGGGGTGAGAGGAGGGGGGTGGGCCCTTCGTAGCCTGGTCCTCATAGGGGCAGCGGCGGGGCGGCGGCCGTGGGGGCCGTGGGGGCCGGTGCCCCCGCTGGAGCAGGTGGAACAGGGGCTTCCCTGACAGGCAGGCAGGCAGGGCTCGCAGGGCGCGCCTGTGTGTCTGCTTTATGTGTTTGTTAATTAAAAATATTTTATTTATTTTTAGACGGAGGGGAAGGGAGGGAGAAAGGGAGAGAAACATCAATGTGTGGTTGCCTCTCCAGCGCCCCCCCGCCGCCCCCCCCCGCCCACGAGGACCCAGCCCGCAACCCAGGCGTGTGCCCTGACTGGGCATCGAGCCGGCGACCCTGTGGCTCACAGGCCACCGAGCCACAGCAGCCAGGCTGTCCTTTTTTAAAATTGGGTCAAAAAGACTGTTCAGTCTTTCCTGTGAAGTAAGAGACACCTTTCATGCTCACCAGTGAGTTCACCGACTTGGACGTTTGGGGTGTGTGAGCTCTCGCCCGTGGGGTGGAGGGCTGACTGCTCCCCGCTCATGAGTGTCTCCGCTGCATCGCTGTCAGCCTCAGCTGCCTCCCTGACCCTGGAGCATCGTCTGGACTGGGGGGCCCTGCAGGCTGTGGCCCCCGGAACCCTCCCCCCACTGAGAGTGCACGGGGTAGGAGGGGCCACACCGCTGGAGCTCAGAGCTAATGAGCCTTTCCCAAAAGTGTGCCCCGGGGCCCCGCTGGCCCCCAGTCCCCTGGCTGGGAGAGCTCAGTAACCAACAGAGGAACACTCTGACCGGAGAACGCAGTCACGGTGTCCTCAAGTTGGCAGCTGCGGGTGCCACCTGGTCTGCCACTGGGCTAAGCGACCATGACAGGTCATGGTGACGGTGGGGCGGTCCAATCCAATCCAGAGGAAATGGGGTGTTACTACTCAGTGAGTGGGATCGGGGTCCCCGAGGCCTTTCCTCACCCTGCCCCATCCGGTCATGAACGCTGGTGGGAGACCAGGACCACCGGGTGACAGTCCTCCTTCCTCAGCTCCCCCCAGAACCAGGAGTGGGCCCCTCCGCAGGAGCGGGGCTCGGGCGGGCGGCGAGCATGCGGCCCGGCCCGGTGCAGAGGCGGTGGCTCCCCGCGGGCACCAGTCTCAGGCCAGCAGCCGAGGAGCAGCCTGTGGCCTCCGGCAAAATTTCTCCTCCTGCTCGGCCTCTCCTCTCGGCCAAACCTCACTTCTCTGCCCCCCTCTCCCCCCACTGTCCTGCTGGCCCCTACTTATAACTTATCTCATAGGGGGATGGCGAGGACAGAACCGCAGGGCTCATGAGACGCGGGGCGGCCTTCCTTTGGGGACAGGGACCGCGGCGGGAGGACAGCTGCGTGCTGTGCAGGTGGGCACCGTGCTTTGGGAGGTGCGTGTGGGGGGGACATGAGGGCGGGGCGGGGCCACAGGCAGGGATGGCGGCAGGTGCCTGTCACTTCCTTGGCTGCGCACCCCGGAGGGAGGTCCCCTTTGGACGGCCTTGCTGGGCCAGGCCTGGTCCCCTCTGTGGGGCTGCGTGGGGACCTCTCTCTCTCGCCAGCGGGGCTGGGCCGTGGCCTCGCCGGGGTGAAGCGCAGTGCTGTCTGCCTCAGGGCCGTGTGGTCTGAGCACAGTCGAGGTTCCCCGGCCAGGCGGCCAGGCTGTCCAGTGGGGCCGGTGCACACGGCCCTCCTGGACATGTGACGGGATTTTTCCTTCAGACCAGGAATCCCCTGGGCGGCCTCGTCTGGCCACAGGATCGAGCCCTCAAGGGTCGAGCGCGCTCTCCGGCCGGTGGAGAAGGGAAGTCAGAGAAGTTCTCCACGCAGGACTGCCCACACCACCGCTGCCTTGGAGACGGGAGGGGGGCGGGGCAGGTGAGGGGGCCCCAGGAGACCCGCGCCTCCCTGCAGAGACCACCAGGCTCCCTGCTCTGACCCAGCTCCCAGCCTGTTCCAGGGAAGCAGAAGCCTGTGTGGGACCCCGACCCCGTCGGCGGACGTGGGGCCTCTTCTCTGGCCGGGCCCCCCTTCCCCAGCCCAGCACATGGAGGACCCTGCTCGTTCTCCAGAGGGGCAGGGGGGGCCCGAGGCAGGGGCGTCCGTGCCTCCGTGGGCAGACAGGTGGCAGGGCAGGGGGTCGGCACAGAGCATCAGTGGTCCTGGAGCAGCCGGGAGCCGCCCGAGCCGGGGCCCAGGTCGTCGAGCTGATGAAGGGCGGGCCCCCCCTGGGAGCGTCTGAAGAAGCTGGGCTCCCAGGGCTGTTGGCCACGGGCTCTGAGAGGCAGAGGAACGAGGAGGCTGTTCTAGGGTGAGGGGGGCGGGGCAGGCGCCTGGACCGGGTGCGGGGGACCCAGCGGGCCAGGAGTGACAGGGTGGAGGGCAAAGCCGGGGAAGTGGCGGGCAGGGACGGCTGTGAGCACTGGGGCGGGGGCTGCTCAGTGGCCGGGCCCGGGGTCCCCAAGATCACTGCGGCTGTAGCCTGGGGACCCCAGGAGCCTCCATCTCTTGGTGCAGGTGAACATGGCCCCTGTGAGGTTGGGTCTTGGTGGGGCTGGGGGCCAGCAGGGGGTCCCTGTGCCAGTGGAGGGTGACCAGCATGCAGGTCTGGCACTTTGCAGCCGCCCCCGCCCCCCGTGTGGCCAGGGATCTTCTAGGGCATCGGCCTGGCCTGGCTTCCAGGGCCCCACTCTGCGGAGGGGCGGGCGGGCCTACCTGGGGCTCAGGGCGTAGGTCCCCTTGCGGTCCAAGCTGCGGCCGGAGCAGATGGCGAACCACAGGAAGGAGCTGAGCAGCATTGCGTACACCTGGGCGGGGGTGAGGGGCACCTGCACCACTGGGTCTCGGTGGGGCCCCCCGCCTCCCCAGGAAGTGACCTGGGCCGTAGGGTACCGGCTGTCTCCTAGGGAAGGGAGATGGGGGGCCCAACACCCCAGGCTGCTTCCCTGGGGGCAGCCCGGCCCGCCCAGCAGGGGAGGCGGAAGGGTGGCGGGGAAGGTACCGTGGAGGCAAGGCCTACGCTGGCCAGGACGGAGACGATGTGTCCATGTGTCCTCAGGAAGCTTCGGATGCTCTGCAGGCAGTCCTGGACAGAGGGCAGCGCCATGGCTCCCGCCCATCCGCACCGCCCTGCCCCCCAGAGACCCTTGGAGCCCACCCAGGCTGGCCAGCACTTGCTTTGTTCTGGCCGGGAAACAGCCCGAGAGCCCGGCCAGTCCTGCAGTGCGGCTGGGCAGCCCCTCGGGGAAAGGGCCCCAAGGCAGCTCTCCGGGTGGCCCCTCTTCTCCCAGAAGGCTGCTCTGGGCCGACCGCTGACCAGGACACTGTCCCTGCCCCCAGGCCTAGGGCCAGTCTGCAGAGACCGCCCCGCGCCTGATCCCTGCCCAGGAGGCCCTCACGCTGGGCCCAGGTGGGACCTCAGGCCTCTCCCTGGCTGGCGTGGACCAGCCGCCCACCCGTCGCCTCCTCCCCGCACCCTGCCCTCCCTGCCCTCACCCATCCCCAGCGGGCAGCCCCGCTGGGACCCAAGGTGCTGTGCGGCCGCACCCCGCCCTGGGCCTCTGCCACGTGCATCCTCCTGTCTGTCTCTTGGAGGGTGGCCAGGAGCCCAAGAGATAGGGGTGGTTTGTTTCCCGGGCTGCGGGGGAGGGGAGCTGGGCAGGCCGTGGTGCAGGGAGGCTGGCCGGCAGGAGGGGGCTGCCCAGTCCCTCTCTAGGCCTCAAGGAAGAAGGGGCTTCCTGCCTCTGCGCTCACTGTGACCGGAGCCTCCGGCGGCCACACTGGCACCGGCCGCCCCTGCCGTGGGCAAGCTTCGTCTCCGAATGCCCTCCGGCCGGCTCCTTCGGGGGCCCACAGGACACCGGTCCCCCTCCCCACACAGCTGACTGCCCTGCCCTGGCCACCCCAGGCCTGGCTCTTCTAGAGGCTTCCGAGGGCAGGGTCTCAGTGCTCGGCACCTCTCCTGACCCTGGGGACCCGCGGACCAGAGCTGAAGTGAAGCAGTGGACAGAGGGCGGGGCCTGACCTGGGTTGCAGTGGGCTCACTAGCCCGGCCACCCCTCCCTGCTGCCCCTGACCACCCGCGGCCTCCCCAGACCTGTGGTGGGCAGGTCCCCCAGCGGCGGCCCCTGCCCCTCACCTGTGAGGCGGCCTCCTCTACCGGACACAGGTCCGCCTCCGCGCTGCCCGGCAGGCTGGACGGGGAGCCCTTCCCACAGCACAGGAACTGCAAGGGCAGACAGAGGGGCCTTGGCTCCCCGGACCCTGGGGTGCCCGTCAGACAGGGGAACACTGAGGCGCAAGGCTCCAGCAGAGCCGGGCACCCCAAGAGATCAGGACTGGGGCTCCGGGTGACGCGGCTGCCTCTGTGGGTGCCCCGCCTGCCCAGTGGGCTCCCCTGGAGAAGGAGGGCCCTGCGGCACCTGGCAGGTCCTCGCTGACCCCGTGCGCCCACCTGTGGGTGGACCGAACACCCCTGTTGGGGGGCGGGGCCGCCCTCACCGGGGCCCTGTCAAAACCGCACCATCGGCGGCCCGCAATTCTGAATTCGATTTGGACAGTGGGCCTTTCACCCTGCTTCGGACCCCGCGGATTCGGTAGTGGCCTATCCAAGGCAGAAGGAGGATGACGGGGTCCTTGTCCTCAGGGCAGTGACGGTCTGTGTCCTGCTCAGCCCCTGACCCTGGCTGGCTGAGGGGGCTGTGGTGGGAGCTGCCAGTGAGGGAGCTCACCGTGTCCTGGATGGCCAGCAGCTCCTGTCGCTGGGTGCCTGGCGAGCTCCTCACTGCCCGGTCGTAGGCCAGGTCGTAGGTGTCCAACGCGGCATCCTCCACCTGCGTCGGGAGGGTCTCCGTGAAGCCCTCCCCGAGGGCGGCCTGGGCCATCTGAAGGGCATGCAGCTCCTTCCCTGGCGGAGCCCCCGAGGGCAGAGCCGGTTCTCCTGGGCGGCCGGGCCCAATGGCTCCCTGGACTTCGACTGGCTGTGAATGCAACCCTTGCCCCCCGGTGGTCCTGCAGGATGAGCCAGAGATGGAAGCTCTGGTCCCCAGGAGCACGGAGGGCCGGCCGAGGGGTGTCCGCCTGCTTCCATCTCCAGACACGGACAGTGGGCAGGCGAGGCCGGGCCGAGTGTCGAACCTCAGGTCCTCGGTGATGCTCTGGGGGTTTCCCCAGAACCATCCGGTGCGTTCCAGAAAGCCCCGGCAGCCGAGGAGGTCCTTGGCTGGGGGAGGTGTGAGCACCCAGGGCTACCTCGGGTCCAGCAAGGCCCCTGGGACAGATGATGGAGCAGGGCGTGGAGTGACAGGGGCCTGGCCGGGCTCTGCCTTCGCTCCGCACCCTAACATCACCCAGACCTCATAGTCTCTGCCCACCTAAGCACCCCTTTTATGCCTTTCCTCATGCTCCCCAAAACAGAATGCCCTCCTCTTCAAGTTATTCTTTCAAAGACAAACTGGAACCTCGCTTCCTTCAGGAAGGCTTCCAGGATTGCCCAGGGGCTGCTGGTCTCCAGGCACAGGCGAGGCCTCTGTGAAGTGTCCTGCCCACTGGTACCTCTTTCCCCCGAGCCCTCCATCACCGTCCTCGCACCCCTGTGCCACGCTGACCCCTGTGCCACACTGACCGCTGGGACATACTGACTGTGCCCGATGGGCTGGGGGTGAGCGGAGGACCCAGGCCTGCTCTGGCCACTCATGCTTGCCCCTGGGAAGGAAGGAGAGGTGCCACACCCACCCAGAGGACTCGGGGCAGCCAGCCAACGGGCAGTGGGGGCTGTCCTGCCCGACCAGCCTCCTCCAAAGCCCCCACACCCCAGTGGGAACCAGATGGACTTCTGTCCTGAACCCCGCTTCTGGCGTTCATTAACTGCCCGTGACACGTCGCTCTGCCAGTCACCCCAGACCTGGCCAGCAGTTCCCTTCCCACTGCTGGGCAGGCGGAGGCGGGGTCCCCAGACTGGGAGCCTGTCTCCTTCAGGGAAATGGGGGTGCCGACAGGGGCCCTGGTGGAGCTGGCCTGGGGTCCGGAGGGCAAGTGGCCGTGCCACGGAGGCCAGCTGGGGCGCCCCCTCTGGTTCTATCCGCACCCCGCTCCCCCGCCCTCCCCCACTCGGGACGGTGCCTCCAAGGCAAGTGGTCACTCCTGTAATATCGTCAGGAGGGACGGCCCTCACTGGGGCTGAGCTGCCAGCTCTGTCCCCGGCCCCAGGGCCCCAGAAGCAGGGGGCGGAGCAGACTTGGCCAAGCCACGCCCCCTGCCCAAGGCCTGCTGGAGGAGCGGAGGGGCCGTGTTCTCCCTGAGAAAACTGGGGGTGTGCCAGGGCCTTGGAGGGGCCAGGGCCTGACCCCAGGGTGCCATGCCCTTCAAGCCCATCTTCCAGAGCCCCAGGGGTGCCCCTGGCTGTGGACATCTCTCTTTGGACGACACATCTGAGACACTCACAGACCAGGTGCTCGGGGAGTCCATGGCCCCCGCTTCCAGGCCCTGAGCCAGGGCTGGTGACTCGGGGCTGTGCCCCGACCCCCAGTGTCTGCTGAACCCTCGTGGGTGGCTCCCGGTGGCCTGTGGGGGCTCTGCAGACCAGCCCCACGGACCCACAGCCACCTCTGAAGAGCCCGCACGGTGGCCGGACAATTGAGGAGGGAGCGGCCTGGGGCGGGGGAGCTGTGAGGACAGCGACCGTCCAGCACGGGTGCACTCAATCTGAGAATGAATTATTGAGCGGAGCCCGGTGATTCATCTCCATGGCCCCGTCTGGGGACAGGCGGGCGGTGACGGTGGCTCCTGGGCTGTGGCCGGCGCATATTTAATTGTCTTCTCGCTCTGCATTCATGGCACGGCCACCCAGTCCCCACACTGCTGGCCCTCGCCAGCGCTGGGGCGCCTGCCAGGGCCCCTCCCCCACCCGCCCGGGCGGCAGCCTGGCCTCCCGGCTGTGCAGACATGGCGGTCCCTGCCCCCCTCTGTCCTCTGGCTTCCCATCTGTAGGGGGGCCCTGGAGGAGCCATCATGACCCTGACTCAGGATGGCTCAGGGGGTCTCTGGGGAGAGGAGGCATGGGGTGGGGCACATGGGGGTCCGGGGCCTGCTGGCTCGGGCTCTGGACCCCCAGGACCTTCTGTGCTCCCAGGGCCTGGAGCAAAGGGGCCTGGCTGGGATCTGGCCTGGGGTGTCTGGAGGCCAAGGCCCCACCCACGACCGGGGTGACGGGCACAGGATGGGGCTGGGCCTGGGCCCGGCCCCAACCACCGCCTTGGGCGAGCCTGGGACAGCTCTGCACAGCCGCACCGCAGAGGATGGAGGGCCGGCCTGGCCTGGGGTGTCAGTGGGCCCCACAGAGCCCTCCGCATGCACTGGCCACGCCACAGCCCCCAAGGTGGGGTCTCCGTGCTCCTCTCACTGCGGAGGAGAGAGGCTCCGTGAGGGAGACGAGCACCAAGAGCACTGGACGGAGAGGCCGACCCCAGACTCCGAAGCCAGGGCTCCTTCACCCAGGCTGCCTTGTGCCCATGTGGGCCAGGACACGCACAGGCCGCCCAAGGGGCAAATGGGGGCCTGGGGTCAAGCAGGGCCCCAGGAAGTGACCCCTGAGGGCTAGTTGGAGGATGGACCAGACCTGGATGATTGAGGGGGGGCAGTGGCGGGGGTGGGACGGAGAAGAGGCACAGCTGGGAGCCATCAGCCAGCACCCCTGTCCTGCCCTGAGGGGAGCCCCAGCTGGCCGTGGCCTCTGTCCCTGTCCCCTGCAGCCTGTCAAACCCTGGGCTGCAGCTGTAAACACACGGGTCGGAGAAGAGAGGGTGGAGGGTCTGTAGCACCCCAGGAGAGCCAGATGGGGCCCAGGGCACCCTGGGAGCTGTCTTGACAGGGACCACCCATGCAGTGGCCCAGACCGCTGCTGGGGTGGCGGGGAGGGCTGGGGAACAGGAGGCGGAAATGCCTGCCCTGCTGAGAGCTGAGGCCACCTCTGGGGGGACTTTGAGCTCCCCAAAACCCAGAGGAATGTTCTCTCACTGATCTGGTCACAGGTGCGTGACCCCGAATGATACAGGGGGTGGTGGGCAGTTTGGGGTAACAGTGACTTGGGGCATAGGGCCCTGGATGGCGGGGACCCCTCCTGCCTGGCTCCACCAGGGTGACCTCATCCCCCTCTCGGCCGGCAGCCCTCCACGTGCAAACCAAGGGGTGCCCCCACACTCAGAGTGGCCCGGCCACTAGGCCTCACCCACACCGGGAAGCATAAGAGGGAAAAAGGCCCTCGATTGAGGGCGAGGAGCAAAGACCAGAGAGGGTGGTCACACACCTGAAGCACACAGCACAGACTCAGCCGGAGAGCCAGCCTGCTCCCCCGGCCCGCTGCCCTCTGTGAGCCTCTTCGTTTGCTGAGGGGGGGTGATGAGCAGCCAGACACCCTAATTAATGCACAGGGGCCGGGGCTGCGGGGCTCCTGACGGCCCACAGGGGAGAAAGCATTGCTTGTCACCCACCACCTGTGGGGGGCCTACACAGGAACCAAGTTCACTCTGGCTGGGTGGTCTTGGTGTCACTGGGCCAGGCCTTGCCAAGCGCATGGGGAAACTGAGGCCCAGTAGGAGGAAAGGGGACAGCTGAGGGCCACAGGAAGCCAGGGTAGACAGGGCCCATGGTCTGGGCTGTCCTGTCTGTCTCTCTCTCTCTCTCTCTCTCAGCCCCACACGCCCGCCCAGGGGCTCCTTGGGCTGCCAGGGGGTGGGGGGCGGGGTGCCTCGCCTGGGTCTGGGCTCTCATAGGTAAAGGGTGGGGCATAAGCTCTGACACCAGGGTCCATCCAGGGCTGGGAGCCACCGGGGGGCGGCCTGCCCCAGCCCCCGATCCCAACTGTGGCCTCTTGGCTGGTGGGCAACGGGGCTGCAGGGCTAGGTGACACCTGGCACTGGGCCAAGCTCTGAAAGCAGACACGGTCCCCAGTGGGAGGCCCCTTTGGGGACAGAGGTGAGACCTGGCGGTGGGGAGAGGCTCAGGGAGAAGCCTGACCTGTCAGGGGCTCTAGGCACGGGTCCTGGGGGCAGATGTTGAGATGTTGGCACCGGCCCATCTCGCTCCGTGCCCTGGCCTGGCACCTGCTGACTGGGGCCACCAGAGTCCCTTCCCAGAGCCCTGGAACCCTCATGGTCTCCCCAGTTCCCAGTCCCGAGAGGCAAAGGGTCCTGAGGCTGGGGCTGGGGCTGGGCTGGCTCCACATGAGAGCCCCTCGGGGACCCCCTGCCCCCCTCTCTGAGCCTCTTAGACACCCCTGTCCTCTGCCTAGACTGGGTGGGCCTGGCCTTGCCCCCCTCATCCCTGGTCTGGCAGGGGGTCAGCTTCACTTATGAAGGTGCCAGCCCTACTTCCAGGGCGGGCTCTCAGGTGCTCCTCCGGCCCCAGACAGAATTCCTGGAGGGCCAGCCACCGGAGCCCCAGGACTCTGTCCCCAGCTGCTCCCTGGGGTGAACGCCCACAGCAGACCCACAGCCTGCAGGTGCCTAGCCCTGCTCACTCTCACTCTCTGGGGGCTGTGGCCCCACGTGGCCGAATTATCCCGGGGCCAGGGCCTCCCTCCCTCCCTCGGAGCTGGGAGGTAGCCTGCTCGGCCCGGAGCCTCCCTGGGCACCCTGCTAACACAGCACGCCCCCAGAAGGCATTGGCTGAGTAGACGGATGGATGGAGCCCTGCTGTGGGGACTCACGCCCACCACCGCCCGGGGCATCATCACCCCAGCCTCCCCCAGTATGGTCCCTCAGACCATCCCCGGGGAAGAGCCCGCATTCAGAATGGAACCAGCAGGGCACCTCACCCTTGGCCACCCGTAGACCCCATCGCCAGGCAGGTCAGGGTCCCGTGGGTGCGTCCTGGACACCCTTCCCCCCCGGCCCTCCTGGCAGCCCCCACAAGGCATCGCTCCCTGCCTGGCCACGCCCCGTCAGCAGTGCAGACCTTGGCAGTGAATCTCTGAAAATACTGATTGCCCCAGATCCATCCCTCGGGCAGGCAGGGCCCCCCTCCACCTGCCGCCTCTCCAACCCTCCAGAGCCGTCTTCCCCGCCAGGACGAGGCAGGAATGGGGGCACCTGGCTGGGGTAGTCTGAGGCCTCCACTGGCTTCCCCTCCCTCCTCCTATAGCTGCTGTCCCCACCCCACCCCAGGCAGATAATGTCCCCATCATGGCCCTGAAACACCCACCCATCTCTAGTGACGGGGGTAGGAGGAAGCGTGGACAGACTTTCTCATCGCCATCCCGGGCCCCTGTGCTGTGTGACGGGGCAGGGGTGCTCACCTGGGTGGGGTTGCGGAGTCTCCAGAATGCCACCTGCACCAGGGCGCAGAACACCAGCGCAAAGCACAGGAAGCCCTGGGGAGAGAAGGGCCGGTCACCCCACTGCCCAGCGGCCGTGCAGGGCCCAGCAGGCCTGGGCCGAGGAGCCCCGGCCCAGCTCCCCCCTGCCCAGGCAGAGCCCTGGGGCGGCAGGCACATGAGTTTCCACCCTTCCTTCTGACCCCTTTGGGGAAGCTTTCCGCCATTACTGGTTTTCCTTCCCAGGGCCTGCTCCTTGCCATGCCAACCCCTCGCCCCAGAGAGGGAGGAGACTCTCCTGCTCACTGGCACTGCTGCTGGGAGGGACACTGACCAGGAGGGGCCAGGCAGAGCCCTCTGTGGGCCTGAATCAGGGTCTGGGAGAACCTGCCCCGTTCAGGTGGCCCGGGGCTCGCTGAGCAGAGGCAGCTGGTTTGGTTCTGGCTGGGAGAGCTCAGGCCAGGGGAGACACACCCAGATGGTGTGACCACCGCCCCTCCCCAGCATCGAGCTCCCTCTTTCTTCGCACCCTGCTCCTCCCAGTGGCCCAAGGGTGCCGGTCCCCTCACTTGTGCGCAGCTGGACCCGTGCTGGAGGTGCCCGGCAGTCCCTGGAGAGTCCCATCCCCAGCCCCTCCCTGCACCCTCTCTCTGGGTGGGGGCTCTGAGCTTGCAGAACTGACTAAGTGTGGTGGGCCCCTCCCCTGAAAAAGGCACTAACGCCCCAGCACTCTTGGCAGGTAGTATCAAAGGGTCACTGCCACCTCGGAGCCCAGCTCGGCTCTGCATGGCCAGTCTGGCCACTGACTGCACACACCAGGGTCTGCAGGGTGTCCCCTCGCCTCAGTGGGGACGCTCTAAGTGTGTTGCCCCATTCCTCCCCCTTCCCGGGCTGCCCACAGCCTGGGATAGGCTTCGAGCACGCCCAGGGCGACAAAGAGAGGTGCCTGCTGGTGCAGACAGACACACAGACACTGGCCAGGCCAGGCAGGGATGAAGAAATAGTCCGTGTGTGTGGAGGGGGGTGGCTCTGTGAGACAGCGGACCACCCACCAGCCCCCAAGCTCCGGTGTGGGCGCAGGGGCCCGCTCCGCTCTGGTGTACACGGCTGCCCGCCCTCCCTGTCCCGCTGCCTGTCTGGGAGTCTGCAGGCCTGAGTCTCAGGACGTCCTTGAAGGTGCCTCCTCCTTCCTCTCTGGCCTTCCCCCTCCCCCTCCTCCCCCCTAGCTGGCTGAGGGCCACCTTCCCATCTGGAAGCCATCGCTCAGGGCTGCCTCCCAGGCTGGGGCCCTGAGCCAGCTCAGGAGACCTGCATGCTCCAGAAACCGTTCCACTCCTAGGAGAGAGCATGGCCCCCTGCCTCTGCCCGCTGGCCCACCCACCACCCTGCAGAGGGCGTCTGGGGGAGGACCGGCCCACAGGCCTCTGCCCGCCGGAGACCAGCCGCTGGTGTAGCCAGGTCCAACCCCAGCCCTCGTCCCTGTGCTCATTCCAAACAAAAATACGTAAATAAGTCGCAACGGCCTCCTTGGGCCACCCTGGCAAGCGCTGCACTCTCATTTCCTGTTCTAGAGGCCGGAGGGGGTGGGGGCAGGAAGGGGGGAGCATCCCGTGCCTGTCCCACCAGAAGCCACCTCCAGCCCCTTCCCATGCGCACGCGCACACAGGCAGAGGTGCAGGATGCAGCACGTGCACGCAGGCTGCTCAGCGCGCAGGTGTCTGGGAGCCAGGTTGCCTCCCGCCCCCAGGTCAGGGCGCAGGGCTGGGCAGGGGTCAAGGGGCGCTGGGGGCGGCCCTGGTGCCTGGCTGGGCCAAGAGCAGGCCTGAGCTCGCGAGACCGAGCCGGGGACACGGGGAAGAGGCGACCTCGATTGCCGCCTTTAGCCAGCACAACGGCGCCCCCTGGCGGCCGACGCTGCAGCTCTTCCCACCCCCACGCCCAGGGCGCCGGCCTCACCGGGACCCCTGGCCAGGCCCCGGGGGCTCCCAGTCCTAATGTCCGCTCCCCTGTCAGGCCCCACAGCTGCAGGCTCTCCCCTGGGGGGACAGTCCTCTGCGCCGTCGGCTTCCCTCCTTTCACCACCAGGCCAGCGATTTTCAACCTTTTTCATCTCGCAGCGCACAATAACGACTAAAATCCAGCCCCAAATATATATTTTTGTCAATGTGACAACAAAAATAGGTATACTTTTGATTTATTCCCACTGTATACTGTCTGACAATCCAGGGCACGGGAGGTCTTTAAGATTCTGGCGGCTCGCCCCTGTGCGGCAGCGATCTGGAAATCGCTGCCCCGGGCGCAGGCCGCAGCCATGGCAGAGGGGCACCCGGGCTGCCCCTTGCCGCTGGCAGGTCCCGATTAGGGCTGGGCCGCCCGGGCCCAGCCTCACCCAGGGGCACACCGAGGGCTGGCTGGCCTGGGGCCGCTGCTCCTGGAGGTGGCCCTGTCCCTGCCCTTGGGGCCAGTTACAACCAGGAGACACTCAACAAATATTGGATGACACAGGCTGGGCAGAGAACCCTGGCTGTCCTGGGGCTCAGCGGCCACCGGGAGAAGTACAACCCCTCCCCATGCCCCACGAGAGCTTTCGGAGGTCTCTGGCCCCAGGGCTGGAGGCACCAAAGAGGGGCCTCCAAGCTGGAACGGAAGGAGCGGGGCCAGACTCCGCGCATCCCAAGGGCCAAGGCTGCGCCAGGGGGTAGCTGAGGGTGCAGGTGAGAGCACGGGCCCCAGTTCAGGTGAGGGGGCAGGGCTGGCAGGGGCAGCAACAGGACAAGTCTCAGGGGCCCTAGATGGGGACAACACGAGGCCACTACTGTGGGACCGTCAGGGGCATGAGGGACCCCCTCCAGTAGCTGCAAGGGTCAGCGTGGAGCTCAGGAGGGCGTGGGCTGTAGTCTGCCCGAACGCCCAGACCTCCGGGGCTGGGGATGGTGGGCAGAGGGGCCTTTCCCTGCCTCTCCCTCCGCTAGTACCAGGAAACGAAGTTCACGGGAAATCTGCGGGCCTCCAGGGTAACAGAACCTGAGCCTCCCTGGGCGTTTGGGAAGAAAGGCTCCAGGCCTCTGCTTCAGAGGATGCGAGGCTGCAGAGGATGGAGGATGACGCAGTGACGTAGGGCCTGGGGGCGGGGCCCTGGTTGGTCTGGGGGCGGGGCCCTGGCTGGCCCACATCCCTCTGTCCACGTTTTCTGTCTGGACACCGAAGGGGGCGGTTTGTAGCCCCGCCAGTCCAGAGTGCAGACCGGGGGGCTGGGGCAGCGGGAGGCGTGAGGACTCACCGAGGCCATGAGGCGTCCGGCCTCCCGCACAGCGGCGGCAGCACTCAGCACAGCCCCCAGGCCGAGGAGGCCGGCCAGACTGACCCCTGTGAAGAAGGCTGCGTGGGGCGGGAGAGGAGGAGGGTTAGCGGTGCCCAGGCCAGGGGTCCCCAGTGCAGAGCCTGGGTCTGAAATCCGCCCGAAGTAGGGGGTGTGTCCTGGACTTTTGGGAGCTGTGAGTGGTCCCCGTCTCCCCATCGGGACCGGACGTGCCCCCCACACCCCCTCCCCTGCCTCCCTCCCCTGGCACACTCAGAGGGACCCAAGAGAGGGCACGGGCCCTGCCCCCCACCTCTGCTTCCTGCCTACTGGCTGGGGCTGTCTTCAAAGCCACATCCCACCCCCTCCCATGCCCTATTGACAGCTGGCCGAGTGGGGCTATAATCTTATCAGTCCAGACCCAGGCTTCCTGCTCCAAAGGCTGGGGTGCATGTCAAGGTTAAAAAGTGGGGCCCAGGGGGCATGAGGCTTGGGGCTGGGACCACCACCCAACCCAGGGGGCTCAGTTTCCCCACATCCATCCCCCTCGGTGCTTACACCTAAGGTTCAGGCCCCCGAAGGGACACCGTCGTCCCTCTGAGCTGCTGGAGGACTCCTCGGGGCCCAGCCCCTCTCTGTGGGAACACCCCCTCCAGGACACAGAGCCCAGAGTCTGGATGCCACCTGTCACACTGTCCTCGGGTTCCCAGGGAGGGGCTGCAGACCCCAGGCTCCGTGCAGCAGGACCCTCTGCCCCTGACTCCCAGGCCTATGCCTGTCTGGCTCCCCTGGGGGGCCGCCCCAGCCACCTGAGCACCTGAAGCCCCGCCCCGGACAGTGGCCACCCAGGGCCTCACTTACCCCAGTGGTGCAGGGCCTCGTAGGGGGACCCCTCTGGAGACACCCGCCTGATGACAGCAAAGTGGGCCCCAAAGTAGGTGAGCACTACCCCGGTGGCCAGGAGGAGGCCCAGCAGCTGGTGGGGCAGAGCCGGAGTTTGGGGCAGGGCTGGTGGGTGCCCGGCCCCAGGGGTGCCCCCTGCCCCCCCCTGCGGCTTCCCTCCAGCTTCCCGGTCTCACCCAAGACAGCCCCTGCTTCGGGTGTGTCTGCAGGGTGGTCCCAGGGAGGCCTTTGCCCCAGACACCCCCCAACACACACACAGACACCCTGACACTCACACACACATAAATGTGCTCACACTGCCCCACCCCCAAAGACACCCCCACTGTCCAGTGTCTCCAGGAGCCAGGGACCGTGGACCACCCTGCTGAGCAGGGAGCGGGCCCGGCCCGGCAGCCACGTCCCCCACCCCTTCTAGAGCACCCAGTGCCCCCTCCGGCATCGCTGCGCCAATCTCCTTCACCAGCCCCCTGGGACCTCCTCCAGGCCTGCTGTTCAGTGGGGGGGCAGTCACCCCAACAGGTGCTCTGGGGCACCCATCACCAGGGACCCCGGATGAGTGTCCCTGGGGCAGGATGGAGACAGCAGAGCTGGTGTGTGGCGGGGACCTGCTGGGCTAGAGGCCCAGCCAGTCACGCGGCTGCTGCCCCTCTGCCCTGCCACCCTGCCCCCACCCCTTCCCACTCAACCTGCCCGTTACCAGGACGAAGAAGCTGGTGACCAGCATCTGGCATTTGGCCACCCTGACTCGACTCCTAGGGCCCATAGTGGTCTCCCTTCCTCTGCTTTCCTCTGCTCCCCTCTCCTCCCCTCCCCTCCCACTGTGGTTTCCAGCCGGGCGGGGGCCTCAGACCGCAGCTGCCCGCCCAGGAGGTAGGCTGCGTCCGCCCAACTGCCTGTCAACACACCCTGAGAACTGAGCGGCTGGGCGCCCAGGAAGAAGGGCAGGCAGGAGGGGGAGGGGTGGTGAGGCCCCACATCCCAGCCCTGGCCAGGACAGTTACGGGGGTCTGAGGCCTGTCCCAGAAGGGCACCTCCTTGTTCCCGGTGTGGCCACAGAAGACACCTGGGAGGAGGTGGGCCAGAAGCAGGAGGCAGCTGGGTAGGGGGTGAGCTCCCTGTCTCGGGAGTGTGCAAGCAGAGGCTAGCCCCCTGGTGAGTCCTGCCCAGGCCTTAATCCTGGGAGGAATCTGGGAGGCAGGTCTAATTGGAACCTCATTCTTGAAGAAGCATGTCTTATGTCACGCCATTAGAAATGTTCTGTGACAACTAAATTTTTGAAAAGGTAACTTGATTTTCGATGCTTCAGCGGCACAAATGAGTAATTTGGAACCGAGCTGTCTCGAGGGCGCAGGGAGGGGGCTGGCTCACACCCACACTGGGCCTCTGATGGAACCCAAGGGAGGGGCAGGTCCTGCTGAGTGGGACACTGGGGGCCAGCGTGGGTCCCGGGAGACCCCTGGTGAACCTGCTGTCTGGGTCTGGTCCTGGCCAGTGTATACCTTGGGGGCCACTGCCGACGGGCTGGGGCCACCTGTGAATGACGCCAGTTCTGCTGGAGTTGCTTCCATTCCATGTCTTGTAATGTGGGGGGTTCTGGTCCTGTGGGGACACAGAGGGATCCTCAATGCCACCAGCCTGTGGAGTGCACCTTTGGGAGGTGCCCGAGGGTGTGGCCTGTGGGGCTGGGCAGTCTGACACCCTCCCCCAGAGACCAGGCACTCGCGCCGTGTCCACCTCACTTCCCCGGTGCAGGAGAGAAGTCGCGTGGTCATACTGCGTGTGGCCGGCTCGCCAGGCGCCTCTCTGGCGAGTTTGGAGAAAAACGTTGGGAGTGGGAGCCAGGCCTGGGTTCCTGGCTGCCCCCGCTGAGCGCCTTCTGTGTGCCCAGCACCTCCCAGAGGGTGGCACCAGAGCCCTCTGTGGGCAAATACTGTGAGAAGGCTCTCCCAGAGACCAACCACGCGGGGCCTGACCAGGCCTCTGACCACAGCCCGGTTTCCCAGTGCCCACTGGCTGGGAGGGGCAGCTTGCAGACTTCAGGCACCATCACGCCTACCCCCCCATGAGCAATGCCCTCCCTTTCCAGCCTCAAGAGGAAGTGACACCTGAGAAAGCCACTGGCCCTCCCCAGCCCTGGGCCACTCACCCCTCCCCTCTGGACCCCTGGGGCGGTCCCCCAACCCCGGGGCAACCTGTGGGGCTGAGGAGGGACCCTACACAGCAGCTGCAGCCCCAAGGGGTGGGCCCAGGGGGGCTGGCTGCCTCCTGCCTGCATTGCCACGGAGACTCGGGGCTTTGAAATGTGCACCTGGGGGCGCACACATCCGTGTGTGTACACGTGCAACATGTATGCACATGTCCACGTGCCACACCAATGTGCACGCGTGTGCCGTGCATACATGCACGGGTGCCTTTGCGTGTATGCACATGTGCCCACACATGTATTTGGGTGTTGGGCTATTGTGTCTGCATGTGCACGTGTGCCTGTGCTCATGTGTGTGCATGTGTGTGCATGTGCGGTGTGCACACGCACACGTGCCTTTGTGTGCACACATGTGCATGTGTGTGGGTGTTTGGGTGTGGGTGCAAGTGTGGTTCTGCACGTGCACACATGACTGTACTTGCATCTGTGTGCCCATGTGTGCTCACAATCACGTCTGTGTGAGTGTGCATACATGTACACACATGCAGGTACACGTGTGCACTCACACGCACACATGAGTGTGTCTGGGTGTGCACGCCTGGGTGTGCGTGTGTGCACCCGCATGTGTGTAGCATGTTATTTGCCATTCAGGGACCTCTCCGCCCCCCTATTTCTCTCCCTCAGCTGATGTTCAGTTGGCCCATGGAAAACTGTTTTGTTGCCCGCCCTCCCAGTGGCCGGGACTGGAGCCATCGAGCAGTAAAACCTCCAGGTTGGGCTACAACCCAGTTACCTGTGCAGGAGAATCCCAGGTGCTGCGTGCGGCACCTCCATTAGGGCAGGGAGCCGCCGTCCCCCTGAGTGGGACTGTGCACAGCCACCTCCTCCACTGGGGACGAAGGACAGATGGATGACACCCGACAGCCAGGCAACGGCAGCCAGACTCCCAGGGACAGGCCACGCGGACAGCACGTGCCCCGAGGTGACGTGGTGGGGTCCTCCCACACCCGCACCCCCAGGCTACCGAGACACAGACCCCAGCAGAGCACAGCCTGCAACCTCCGGCCACCCTCCCCAACTCCGTCCAAGTCTCCACCACGAGGAGGGTCTGAGGAGCCGTCCCCACCCAGAGCAGCCTCGGGGACGGGGGGCTGAGTGTGGTGAGGGGGCCTGGATGGGTCCTGGGGGAAAAGGAGGCGAAGGAGAAGTAAGGACACCAAGCAGGGCATGATGAGCAGTGACAGGTCCGCGTGTACCAATTTGCTGTGACAAGTGGCCACGCCCACGTCAGGCATCAGTAGGGGAACCCGGGTGTACAGCACTGAGAACCCACTATGCTGTCTTTGCAACTTTTCTGCCACCCTAAGTCTGTCCTACATACACTGTGTTTGAAAAGCCAGGGTCATCCAGCAGCCCAGTCTCACGGCTCCGAAGGGAGCCGGCGCTGCTCACCGGGCCCAGAGCTCTGGGCTCTGCCCCCAGCTCGCTGCCTGCTCACCCAGTCGTCTGCACACCAGTGATGTCACCTGCCCACCCTCTCAGCTGCCCACCTGCCCATGAGCTCACCTGCTCAGTTACCCACCTGCCCACCCTGTTTCCTCGCCCACCCACTCGTCCTCATTCACACAGCTCTCCACTTGCTCACTCGCTCCTGCCTGCTCTCTGCCTGCTGCCTGGGCCCCCGTGAATCCAGGGGGGGTGGCGGGGTGGGGGCAGCCAGCACCCGCGCAGGCCCTTCTTGTCACCTCGAAGCTACCTCCCTGGGCCAGCAGGGGGCAGCCTCCACCCTCCAAAGCTCACCCAGAGGGCGCCCTGCTTCCCGGCAGAGATAAGCCAAGGCCTGAGGGCTGGCGCCAGGGTGACTCCTGCTCCCGACCCCGAGGGCAGGGCCGAGAGAAGGCCGCAGGTCAGCACCGAGGTGTCCTGGGGTGCCTTGAGCCTGTCACTTGTGCCCCCAGCTCTGCCTGTGTGCCCTGGGCCCAGGCCACCACTGACCCTGCAGGAGTGAAGGCCTGTGCCTTCCCGCTCCGGGCCCAGCCGCACCTGCCTGGTGCTGCCGAGGCTCTGCCAGCGGTTCTGGAGGGAGGTGTGCACCGCGGCACCGGGCAGCCTTGTCCGCGTCCTCCCTTACTTTGTGGTGAAGGTAGCGGATGTGACCGGAGTCCTCGGCTTTCCCCTTCCCTCCCGTGCCCCTGCACCAGTGACAGTGGGGTCCCACCAGTCCACCCTCCGTCTCGGTCCTCACGGCCCAGGGCCTCGTCTGTCTTCGGAAGTTCAGTTCCAAGGCTAAGGTGCGCCTGGGGCGACAGACTCCATCTCAGGAAGCGTCCAGAGGGGCGCGTCCCAGAGACAGAGGGCATCCGTGTGGCCTGGGCTGGCAGGAAGACGGGGATGGGGCGGCAGCCAGGGGACGCTGAAAACGGTCCGGAACTGGACAGTGGTGGCAGTCGTGTGGCTGCGAATGCACTGCAGGCCACTGACCTGAGGGCTTCACACGTATGTGTTTAGTCCTCACACGAGAATATGTTTATTGATTGTAGAGAGAGAGGAAGGGGGGGACATCGATGTAAGAGAGGAGCATTCATCGGCTGCTTCCTGGATGTGTCCCGACTGGGCATCGAACCCGCAACCCTTCAGTGCGTGGCACGGCGCTGCGACCCACTGAACAACCTGGCCAGGGCGACCTGAGCACTTCAGAAGAGTGAATTCTGTGGTATGTGAATTGTCTCAATAAAGCTGTTCTTTTTATTTTAAAAAGGAGAGATGCCCATGAACGCCCAGGGGCAGAGGGCGGCCCCTGGTGGACTCCCTCAGCTTCCCCTTGGGCGACATTTGGAAGTGTTTCCCGAATCCGCTCCCTGCCCAGCTCCTGGTGGGGCGGGCCAGGTGCCAGGTGTGAGCCTTGAAGGTGGAACTGAAGCCGAGGCACTTTTTCTGCTCCGGGTGCTGCTCAGCCCACCAGGGCTCATCCGGCCACCTCACCGGGCAGCCCCAGGCCCAGCAGCCCTGACGCCCAGCACCCAGCTGACAGCCGCCCTGTTGCTGTGATGGACGAGGCCGACGCTGCCCGTCCAGCCCGGAGCCCGCCATCCCCCTGGCCATCGCGGTCTCCCCAACGCCTCCGGGCTCCCGAGTCCAGCGGGACGCCCGTCCTTGCCTCGCCTCCACCCGAGAGCCCGCAGCGCCCAGGGCACTGTCTCTCCCGTGTCTGCGTCACCGACTTGGGTGCCGTTTCTCAGGCTGCTGAGGACTCCATCCGCTCTGCCCCTTGCTGAGATACTGGGGCCCCCCAGGGGTAGAGGCAGCCCCCCTTTCCCTTCTTGCTCTGGCTGCTGTGGCTATTTCACCAATTCCCGTGCGTGTGAACATCACTACATGGGGGACACTGCCGTCCTGGCTCCTGTCCCCGTGAGCTGACAGATGGAGAGGCCCTCTGTGGGTGGGACCATGCCGTGCTTGTCCGTCTCTGGCTTCTTCCACGGAGCACGATGTCCAGCATGTTCCATCTCCGCCTCTCCCCGGCCCTCGGCCCAGGGACCTGCCCTGCGGATTCTAACTGCCTCCATCTCCCCATCTCTGGGCTCCACTTCCTCAGCCTCAGGAGGCCCCGGGGCTGAGCCTGGAAACGCTCAGGGCGCTGCCGGGTCCGTTTCA